AAAATACAATTATCAGCTTCATCAATTCCCTATAGCCCTCCTCTGCCACTTCTAATTCCTTCAAAGATTATTCACTTTTTTGTTACTCAACTGTAAAGTAAAGAATGAATCATTTTCTTGAGAAAAATAGATTCTACACAATCTATGCATTTTCAGATCTTTCAGTTCAGAATGATCATAGATTTGAATTTTTATGATATATTACCTCTTTAGCACTCAGAATAAGATTTATATAATAATCATATAGTTTATTTCCAGCTCAGTAATCCTTCGGGAACTGATGTTATATGCCATGGATGCTAAATACACATATATATTCCAACTAAAATTCACTCAAAAGATTGTGTAAGTGGGATGGAAATTATATATATTCACATATTCTTTTTTGTCATAATAGTTTCCATTTTGCTGATATCCAGCAACAATATAAGCCAGCATCAATATTTGTAAAAGTAAAGTCATATATGATCTTAAAAGTGAAATGTTGGTTCTAAAATTTAAAGACAATTAAAACAGATGTATTGCCTATAGCAATACTTCAATAGCAATGGAAAGAAAGCTACTTATTTATGTAAGGGGAAGAAATAAGATTGGGCTAACCTTTCCGCTATATATATCACCCTACCCCAGGAAAACTGTGTAAATCCTGAACTGGTGCTTAGAGGATGTGAGGATTTGGATGGGGCAAACCAGAGTTGTTTAAACATTTAAACATTTCAACATTGGTGCTAATAATAATTATCTCGGTGTTCACTCAAAAAGGTATGCGTCTTGACTATGAAGCTCTCTGGAACTCTTACTTAAGCAAGTCCCTGAAGCCTTGATCCACCTTTGGCTGGTGTACCAATTATGACTCTATCTGGTTACAGATATTCTTGTGACAGTAACTCATGTCTTGATCATTACTTTATTTACATAATCTGAAAGGCAGCCCAATTTAAAAGGATCATGGGCAGCATATAACTTCAAAACAGATTAAAAAAAACAGCAATTAGTCAAAAGAAAAGTGGGCACAGAAGATTTAGCATAACCCATTGAAGAGGAGTACTATGTAGAGCTTTTAAAAATAAAGTCAGGGATTTTAATAAGAATCAAAAGTCATCTACAAGATGAATTGGTCAGGCCAACAAGCCATGAGTTGGCTTTCATTTGTACCTCTGCCTTGAAACTTCAGTTAAATTTTTAAAAGCATATTCTGAAAACAATCTCTTGAATTGTGGCAGCGTATAAGTTATACAATAGGTAATTAATAAATATTTTCATTTATTTGCCTTGAAAGAATTTGATTCAGAGGAGACTAACTCTTCAATAATTATACAACATACTCTTTCCATACCAAAAAATCAGCTGATGGAATGCAAGTTGTCTCCCTTGTGTGTTTTTTCCAACTCTATCAAAACCAGCAAAAAAAGGCTGCCAGACAATAGTGGTATAAGTTCCCACTGATTTTTAGCAGAAAATGCATGAAATCTTAATGAAGGTGTAAAACACATCTACACTAAAGAAAATCAGGGAGAGGAAATGAGACAAATTTCAGACCTTGGTCCCTCAACGTAATATTAAAGAATAACTGCCTTCCACTTTGTTTCCTGCACAAAAGTAAATAGTAATAAAATGGAGCCTCGAGCATCTCCTCTAGACTCAATTTTTCCACACTGAAATTATTAAACTCAGAAGAAGAGAAAAAACTCAGAGCATTAATGGTTAGCAACAACTATATTACTTATCTTTTACCATTAATATTAGAAATGCTATCCAGAGATATTTACTAAAGATATCTACTAAAATGCTTAATATTTGTAAAGTTGTTAAAAAGGGAAGTGGTAATCAGGCTGTTGAACTTTAGAGACTTGTAATGAAGTAGTAGGACTGTAACTGGAAATTTTGACCTCAGGTTTTGTTGATTACTAATTAGCTAAACTTTTTGAGTCACTGTAAACTTGTGGCGATATTTGAACTAAAGGCTTATGGGTGACAGATATTACTCAAATTACAAAATCTCATTTTATGTCTTCATATCACTTTTCTGTGGGATTGATACAGGATATAAGAAAACAAACCCATTAAATTTCAGGTTTGTTTATAAAGCAATTGAAGGAGTTCAACTTGATTGATGGATAACATTTGGGCAATTTCAAATTATTGACTGCCCAGAAATCAAGTTATTAACTTATGCCTAGGGGAAAAGAAACCAACTGTTATATATAAAACTTATTTCTAGAGCAAGTAAACATTCTGCTAATATCATCCTTTTGTTTAATTTCTTACTTGGATATAAAATGGTTTCCAATACGATACTCTAAAGGTATGACTTGGGAAGGTAACGTTGCATAGAGCAAAGTAAGACAAATAAACTAAACTAAAATAAATCATGCAAACATTATAATTTTAGCTACATTATTACAAAGCATTGGGTTACTCTTTCTAGGGGGCATATAAAACATTTCAAATCTTGAATTTTAATTTGATAGTGAATTGGAAGACTGTGTCAAAGATTTCACTGAACAGAAATTAAATCTGTTGTGTACCCTGTGCATGACTCTAAGACCCATTCTAAGATAGTTCAATGTAACATCTCATGTAAACAGACTTTGATTTACAATGTTTCAGTCCTCAAAGTATAAGAGAAAAAAGCTAATGATGGGGAAAGTTAGGACAGCTTTTGCCACTAATTGATTTTACTGGGGAAAAAATCATAAGTGCAACTGCAAAAACCACTGCTCCACCTATTTTAAAAAGTAACCTTGAAATTATTTTCTTAATGGGAATGCAAAGTTAGCAATGTCTATCCTTTGTAACCAGTTCTGGAGCTTCCTAATAATCTCTATCATAAGATTCTGACAACTGAATCTTGCTCATATAATACAGAGTAGTTCTATCAGAACAATACAAAGCTTTTCATCTTGAAGAGATGTAATGTAGCCTTTACTCTAGGTCAGTGGTGGCGAACCTATGGCACGGGTGCCAGAGGCGGCACTCAGAGCCCTCTCTGTGGGCACGCGTGCTGTCGCCCCAGTCCTAGGCCTTCAGCTGGGTTTTATAAAACCTTTTCGCTTTAGGCCTCTGCCACTGTGTGCAAAAAATAAAATAAAAGGTTCAATCAATCAGTCAATTTCAACTTCTCGCAGGGAAAAAAAAGATCTTGCAAAGTTGGAATTGATTGATTGAACTTTTTAGTCCCACCCAGTCTGCGTTACCACTGCAGCCACGCCCACCCAATTGGCCACACCCACCCAATGGGCCACACCCACCCGGCACCTGACGATGCACAAGTGGGTTTTGGTTGCAGTTTGGGCACTCAGTCTCTAAAAGGTTCGCCATCACTGCTCTAGGTCTAGGAGAACAATGTTAAACATAATAAATTAAGATTTCTTTATTCTGCTTGACCAATCCGACATAGGATTTTAAAGTGGCCATATTTTAAATGAATATTAAAATACTTTAATTAAAAAAGAGAACACTACAGAGTTCAAAGTTGATTTTTGTTTACATTAGTTCTCTGAAGCAAACCAGTGGAACCAACTCATGTGTTCCTTAGCATTTCCTAATGTTATGATTGCCACGAATACATATCTGCACAAATGCTGCAAATAAGCCTAAATATATATCTGAAACTATATACTCTTTAGACAGTTAATTTAGATCAATTCAGTTAATGATAACATGAATATAGTATGACAAATATTAATTAGGAAAAAAGTGTAATGTCTCTTTGTGAACAATTTCCTTTACAGGAAACTATTAATAGCTGATAATACATACAATTCCTTGCAAGCTTATTCCCGAGCAACAAATTAAATGTCAAATGAAATAATACAATTTCCTATCTCTATACCTATAATTAATATTAGGATGGTGACAAATGAAGCACAGAATTCTTTGGAAGCTAACTTTGCAGAGAGGTAAAGGAAAGTAAAAGAACTAATAAAATAAATCATGCAAATTTTATAACTTTAGCTATATTATTATTAAGTAATGGATTAACCAGAACCAAACCCTTCAGATTTAAAGCTTAAGAGGGTAGAGGTAATATTCAAAACACAACACAAAAAAACAAGATATGTACCCTTTAGCAATTTCTAAGGAAGTGCACCATGCAGATGAGAAACTCTTGTATTGTGAAAGTTTATAAATCTATTCAAAACCTTTTAAGGTGTTTTGAAATCTGCAAGAGCCACAAGTTCTTAGTATTACAGACTTCATTATGAAACATTAGGAAAGGGCCCTTGGCTATCAAACCAGCTGCAAGTATTCCAAAGCTGTAATGCATGTTAACTTGATTCAAAGCACAACTACATACTGTATTAACTTTCAAATTTCTTTTGCATACCAAGTTCCCTGTCACTGAGGACAAATTCATGAAACTACTTTATATATATATTTAACCTGCTATTGTTCTGCAACCAAAACTATCTCATATCTTGCAATAGTTTAAATTTCTATCCACATAGAACAGGGATGTCAAACTGCCGGCCCATGGGCCGGATGCGTCACGCTGAAACTGCGCCCACCCCATTGCCAGCAATGGGGGAAAAGTCACAATACATTGCGACATGTCACGTGATGTTGCGAGTTTGACACCCCTGACATAGAATAATAGAGTTGGAAGGGCTCTCAGAGATCTCTTCCGACTCTATTATTATTCTATCCTAATTAGGCAATCCATCTACCTATTCTGTTACCACTTTTTTTTGTGGTAGTCCATCCAAGTGAAAGTCTCAGATCTGCTGCTATGTTTGATGCAGTCCTCTGGTGAGGATCTTTTCCAGGATTGCTAGTTGAAATCCTAAAACTGGAAATCCACCAACTGTAACCAAACGCAAGGAAAACCACTCTGGTAACCCTTGGCTTTTTAATCAAGTAGTATTGCCTATACAAAACAACTCCTAAGAAGTTTATTACACAGCCATTTCTGATATTTCAGAACAAAAATACTGCAGAAACAGGAGTTGATACCCTCCAGCAATACAATATATACATTGTTTTTTGCTTTTACTTACCAGATGTTCCTCCAGCCAGTCATGTATGCAAGCTATTGTAGCCCCTGGTACTTGGTGCCACAAAGCTTCTTTCTCTTGAGGATCCTTGAGCATTTCTAACGCTAACTTCAAATCTTCCAAGAGGTGCAAAATTTGAAGTGAGCCAAAATACATTGATTGAGCGGGTGACACCATGTCATAGACACCATTTGTATATTCTGCAGCTGCCTTGGTACCTAAAAAGAAACAACAGAGTTAACAGAGAAAGAGTCCAAGAAAAAGCTGAAGAGCCAGATTAAAGAAAACTAGTTATTTGTTTATATACTGGATTTTATTTATTGTGCATTTTATGTGCTGGAAAGCAATCTCCGACTCCTTGAAATAATCTTTATTCTTCTTTTAAGTTCAACGGTATCTCATTTGGCTAGGCTTCTTAGGACATTTAACTTATGCCATGCCAACCAGTTATAGGCAAAAGCTGCAAATACATTGATAAAAAGATGTAAATTACTGAATGGTTCTGTTATAAAAGCTTTGACAGATACCACGTAGGAGACCCTTGATGTTTTTAGAAGTAATTTCTTGCAAATCATTTTATCAATATTTTATAATACAGTGCATATATACATTGCACATGTCTTGAATGTAGCTGTCTTTATTCAGCAAACAAAACGTATAAGTTCTATGTCAAAATCAATTTTATGCAAACAAATACTATTTTATAGCTACATTATTTCATGAAAATATATCAATTCACCATCAAATCCACAGTGGCAAAAAAGAGAAACAGTCCATTCGCATTCACAGAAGATACAATGGAATGATCACTTATTAAAACAGAAAAATAACAAAGATGCAGAAAAATAACATTAGATAACTAATGGAGTATATTCAGTAGTATGCTATTAAATGCACAGCAACCAGCGCTTCTCTTGCTGACACTGCTGTGTTGCAAGCCGCCAAACATCTGATTGGCTTGCTAAGAGTCACAGCTCAGGCCTGCTCTCAACCCACTTGCAAAATTCCTGAAATTTTAACAATGGACTCTTGTGGGCTAATGCCACTGAGTATATCAATCAATTTCCCCAAATAAGCAATACCAATATTTATCAAGTCCTAAGGCAAGATAAAGAGAACCCAATTAGTAAGGTGACCAACTTTTTACAATAAAAAGGAGGACACAAATAAATTGAAGAAAAAATATTGTAAATAAAAGAAACATTTTCTTCATTGCAACAATAATACAGACAACTTAGCTTTCGAAAGCCAATAGAGGGAGTAGCACAGCTCATGCAAAAGTTGAAAAAAAAAAACCCATCAGAAAAAGATGCCGGAACGCCGTTCTGAGCATTCTATGAGGGAAAAAAAAGCCTTATTTATTTATTTATTTATTTTCATTAACTTATATGCCGCCCTTCTCCCCATGGGACTCAGGGCGGCTCACAGCATGTTAAAACAATATAAAACATTATCCCCTATAAAAGCCAATTAAAAACCAAATATTTATCGCTGTGTCTTATTAAAATCATTAAAATTGTCCCTATTTAAAATTCACCCTAGGTCAGACCCGC